GCTAAAAATCGGGTCGTTAACAAGAGGCTGAACTACTATAAAAGTAGACAACAATTTTATATTCCGTCAGGGCGTAATATTTAGCATTGATCACCTTGATTTCAAGTTCCAGATACTGCTAGTTCACATTGTTAGGTTATCAAGGTTTTTACCCAGTTTCCAGATGTTTTATTACTATATAATAAAAAATTTGGAAAATTAACTTAGAAAGTCATAATATAAAATAAAAAAAAGTTTACCCAACAGAAATATGTCGATAAATCAGTCAGTCACATTAAAATTAATAAAAGACCGAATCGATAACACAGACATTGCTTTTCTCTATTATGGATCTAATCCAAAAAGGCAATAAACTTTATATTTGTGAGAGTATGAATAAATCCATGAGCAAATATATATGTAAACTTGGGATGTTGGGTAGGTATCAGTATCTTCGGTGTCCATATTTACATGACTTGATTTGTATGCTATTTAATACTTCTTTACTAACACGTCAAATAAAATTGAAAATAAAAAACATAATCTCCTCAACATATACGTCGATCTAACTTAAAATAACTTAAAATTAGCAAAATAAATTCTAAAACAAAAACCAAAATGGGAGTCGGAAACTAAAATTTAAAACTTCTCTATTCAAAGAAATAAAAATAGATTGAAAATGTTTATCATCTTTTGGTACCTTCCCAAATTCAGTTTAAGATTCAAAGATATTTTGTCGTAATATGTTTTGATCTCTTGCGTTCTGATTTTATTTATTTGCTAATTGGTCGTAACATAATCTTTGTCCAGTATACATTATTTTACAATAACTGCCCAACGTGCATCTTTATTAAAAGTATATCATTGATTAACATCAATATTTACAATATTTTACATGATCTGTTATATCTCATGACTTATGTAATAACTAGTTATAGAATTTAAAAATATGGCAAAAGCTTGATTACAAAATATGGTTCAAAAACTATTTAAAATCAACAGAAACAAGTATCGTTTTATGTCTGACGAAAGTCAAAATATTGGAAATTTCGCGCGTTCAGGGTCTTTTTGAGAAAATGTACTCCAAATCTGTATAAGAATGCTTAGATGAAATTAAATCTGATCCGACAGTACAGTCAACAGCAAATAAGCATAGAAACTTTAACAAATAAGTTAACAAAATTAAAAGCACATAATACAGCTATCTATTCACAAAAACGAAACATTTATACGTAAAAAGATCCTGATCTGTACGACTCACCTCCTCTCTACTCTCTACCCTCCACCCCTATTTGAAGATCCTTTTGCTATTGAATGCGACGTCGGAAATATTTTCACGAAGATTTGTGGAACCATTTTCAGAAAGATACATTATATACTTTACATTATATAAATACAAAACCACTTTTAAAGTCTCCAGAGCTGGAGCAACTTTTCTATCTAAGAAAAACACATAAATAGATAATGACCATTACTCATAAATTTTTCACAGTATTTGATTTCAAACGTTTAAGAGAAGGAATTTACTGCCTTCAAACAATAATTCAATACTAGATGATTATTCGATTGACATTCGATAAAAAACGTCTGATTTCATATCAGGCTATGAGTGCAATAACGGATCAACCCACAAAATTCAAAATTTATTATGTAGAATATCAACTGTCTAGTTGAAATCTATCAGCTGCATAGTGGACCAATCCACATTTATCGACTCGATGCATCACTAAAGTAGTTTTGGAACTCCATATTTGATAGGATCTTAGAGAAGCAAAGTGGATTGCATGCGCGGTTAGTAAACTGTGCTGCTGATAGATGTTTTTCTATCATTCTTGATTGATATTTTTGGATCTATTTGTAAATTGTTTTTTATTTTCTGAGAAACGTTCAACAAGGAATATAACTTACACTTTCATCCACCAATTGCTGACTATTTAAAGAAGTGTGATTTATTTGAAGTCAAAATAAAGGCAGCCAATAGTGAATCAAGTAAACAACTCGAAACTGAAAAAGAACTTCGTCAAAAGAAGGCGAAGAGTGCTAGAGATTCTTTAAAAAGAGACTCCTAACTGGCAAAAAATGAAACGCGTCGGTCATCTGATTCGATCTGATGAAGACTTTACCTACACCTGTGCTTACCGCAGGAATTTGTTACTACAAGCAACAATTATGAACCTACTGCTTCAATATTCATGAAATGAGAAGTCACAACTCATTTATGTTTGTGTGGGATGAAACTGTCGCCTCTAGGGGTCCTCAAGAGGTAGGATCCTGCATTTTATTTTACATAAAAAATTTCGTAAAATCGAAACGATTATGTATTCTGACCAATGTGGCGGTCAGAACCGTAATATTAAATGTCATTATTATGCAATTAAATAACTACATCTCCAGATTTTATCGTGGAAGAAATAGACCACAAGTTTCTGGTAAGTGGTCATTCTTATTTGCCATCTGACCAAGATTTTGGTATAATAGAAAAAGAAAAGAAATTCCATCCACATGTATTTATCCCCAAGATTGGCATGCAGTGATAAAACACGCGAGAAAGAAAAATCCGTTCACGGTATGAAACATGGACAAATCAAATTTTTTTCTACGAAATTGCTTGAAAGTAGTATAACCAACAGAAAAGTTTCCGAATCAAAAACCAAGGTAGAGTGACTTAAAATTCAATGGTTAAGGTTTAGGAAAGACTTTCCCAATACTCTTCAATATAAGTATTCGAACAATGAAGATGTTTATTTTGAAACTGTGGAGGGTATTAAAAAGGAAATCTGTTTCCAAGAATACAATGGAATTGCCACTTCTGTATCCAAATGGAAATACCATTAATGAAGCTAAAAAGAAGACCTTCTTCAGTTAATAGAATTGATACACCCCATATACCATGAATTTTATAAAAACCTGAGATCTTAAGCTCAAGCAGTCAGAGGTGAAGTAATTCTTCTGATGTTTTTATACACATTCTGTGGTAATAAAGTCTTTGATGCAATATCGAGTGTATTATTTTGTGGGATAACCCATTCACTGACTAAAAATATTTTAAATGCAGAGGAACAACCCACATTAAAAATATCGAATACAGGTGTTTATCCAAAATTTTTGATCAAATTTATCAAATACGTAATATCCAACATACTTCTATTCTTTCAAAGCAAAAAATATTCTTAAACAAGGTTATAGTGGATCTCCTAATTTTCACTTTTTTCCAAACCCTTATTCTAACAATTATTAATATTGAGGTTAGTTCGGTATTGCACTCTTAGCCTCATATATGATGTAATACTGTGGTAACCACTTCATTCGAGTAGCTTGAGAAGTCCCATTGATTATTCAATAAGTACATAGTGCATCACACGCCTCATGTGAATGGTCCTACGTACAATAAATCCTGCATCACTATTTATTCCGTAAAATCGAATACTGTAAAAAGTGTCATTGTGTATTTCATGTGAATTAGGCATATATTTAGGAAATATCAAGCCGATATGTCATTAAATCTGACCAAACCTAAGATCACTCCTAACTATAAACCCTAAAGCCTATTACCGATCTACGGTACCTTTCACATGTCAAATCATGTCACACGTCAAACGTCAAAATGTGTATTATGTCATACATAAATTCATAAATTAGCAACAACAAAGTGTCCTATAACATGAAATCTGGTTCGAAAAAATTTAAAACAATCTAGTAATAATTTTGAAAGAATGAATTTGAATATGAAATTAACAAGATGATAATTAAAATTTTATATTGAAATTTTTTTGTAGTATTGTGACGTTTTATGCATACTCTAGAATGAACTAGATACATTACTACATTCACAAATATAAGCTAGTTAGTTTAGTAGTTGCGCTGACCCAGCCAGTCAGCAATCTTAGACTTTTGGTCATAAAACGTATAAGTGCCGAATACTCCACAAGGAGGGATGGAACTAGAGTGTTTATTAGTACTTTAACTTCATACTTGTGCGATTAATAATTGCCAACTCTTGAACTTATTAATAAATTTTACAATTTTACCCTGTGTTGATGATCCTGGCTAAATTTGTATATGTTAAAATGTATTTTTAATTGTAGAGACATTAAAGATATTTGGTACAGAGGAAAAATAATAATTTTCGCGTTATATGAAAAACACAATTTAGTTATTATTAGCGCAATACATGTTGCAGTTATTATATAAAACCTAGTTATTATCATAAAAATTATTAATATACCTTTAATAAAGAGAGCAGAGGCAAAGTACCGGACGTAGGGAGATTACACCTAAATTTCTAACTATTAAAATCACAAGCATCAAAGTCCACTTTGAATTATATATAATTTCAATGTGTATGTAATTGAACGTTTATCACTAACACATTTTTTAAAGTTTTGATTGTTGTGGTTAAACGTTATGATCGTATCATTCGATATATTATATATTTTAATTTTCAAGAAAAATCACATTTCAGCCATACTAATGCATTCATTGCATCCTTCCGTCCATCTTTTATAAATAGTCTCTCCGATCCGTTTTCATTTAGTTTAAAATATGTACTCTCTGGCGACTGAGCAAAGGTAGGGCCAACGGCTCAATTTAAAAACCCAACAACAATATACACTAGACCTACACTCCCCCTATACAGCTTATACATAAAATGGTAATTATTTGTCAAAAATAATCTTTCAACATTAGCCTGTACACATGGAGAGACGTCAAGAGAGAGAAAAAGATAGAGTTCGAGGAAGCCGCATCAACAAAAATTGGGCAATCACAGTCGCGCCACTTGCTTAGTACAGCACTAATATTTACTTCATCATATTCCTTTTTAAATATATCAATTTTTAACAGTCGGCTAGGAACATATGATTTACACAAGTGAAGTGAAATCATAATGTACATGTACACCTAAATGCCATTAGTTTTTGTATGTTTATATGGGTCAGTCAATTGGCGCACACTATGCGTAAATATATGAGATATTACAGGAGCACCACCGTCCCCATTGCACTAAACATCCTGAATCCCTGCTACTTCGGAGATCGGGGAGTCACAAAGTCACGCAGTTGGGATGTTCTCATTTCAGTTCGTCTCCGCTGAGACCTCTCATGGCCCGATCTGGCTCCGCCACGATTCATACCATTGTACCGCTGCTGATTTCCGTTGCCACCCGATTCAATTCGTTGTGGACCATTGTCTAAATCAAATTAATATTTTTTCATATAACTATAATAGTATAGTAGCCCAGGCTATGGGTAAAAAAGATCGATTTTATACACTAAATAGTGAATTTTTGAAACCTACTCTGTGTTATAAAGGGCGATGTCAGGAACAACTCCCAGTCCGTGCAACAGTAAACTTTTAGTTATTATTTATTTATGGGACTTTAAAGGCGAAAATATGCACTGTTTAATTAGATTATTGCAAGCCTAAAGCCCGCCACTCACGTTCCAACGCCGCAGTACGATTTTGTCGAATGCTACAATGTAATTTGATCACGTATTTGCACCATTCGACCAAATTTGACGCCAGACAAACAAGTCAGTCTGCAGCTGTGTGAGAGGGCGGGGATTACACTTTCGTCCAAAATAATGAGTGTCATAAACGAAGGTATACATTTTCGTCCAAGCCCCTAAAATTGAGGTATCAAAGTTCGTCCAAAGGGTCAGGTATATTTTCGAAATGCTTTTCAAAGAAGCAATTAAGACCCATTAGTTCCCAACGTTGCGTAAACGCAACATTTTGAAAATTATTGTTTTTGTAATATGTTATTAACATTATGACTTCTTTTTTCATCACAATTGATTGTAAATATAACAAAAACCATTTTTTTTATGAAATACCATGAAATATTGTACAAGGTTAGTTTAGGTTTTTCTGTAAAATTAAAATTTCTTGAAACTGGATTAAAAGTAAAATAGATATTAGGATTTTCTGTGAAATTGTGTGGTCTAAGACAATATGGCTTATGCCAATATGTGTGTCATACTACAGTTGATGCGTGAAAGAAGGGTACACAAAACAAATAATCCGATAAGATACAAAGAAAACAGATAAACTGATAAAAAAGAAAATAAGAGAAGCTAGAGAAAGATGGCTAAGTGAGCAATGACAGGAGTTGGAAAAATTTGAGCGAAAATATGACTTTTTTAATGTACACAAAAAGATTAAAGAAATGACAGGAAGGAGAAGAACAACACAGACAGGACAGATCAAAGATACAGATGGTATAATTATAACAGATTTACAACAAAAAATGAACCGATGGACAGAATACATATCACAACTGTTTGATGACAAAGATAGACAAGAAATCTCAAACGAATATACAGATGATACAGGGCCTGATATAATCAGAGAAGAAATAGAATATGCAATCAAACAAGCAAAAAGTGGTAAGGCCCCCGGTCCTGATGAAATTCCCGTAGAACTGCTCAAACTTATGGACGATGAATCTATTAAAATACTCCTAGATGTATTTAACACAATATATAGAACTGGAATAATACCTAGGGAATGGCTCCGTTCGACCTTTATACTACTGCCAAAAAAGGCAAATACAAAGGAATGCAACGAATATCGTACGATAGCTTTGATGAGTCATGCTCTAAAACTGCTCTTAAAAATAATCCATAATAGGATATATAGGAAATTAGACGTAGACATCAGTAACACTCAGATGGGATTCAGAAAAGGGCTGGGTACAAGGGAGGCTCTGTTTGCAATGAACGTTCTCTCACACAGATGCTTAGACGTGAACCAAGAAATTTACGCCTGCTTTATTGATTTCGAAAAGGCCTTTGACAAAGTACAACATGAACCACTAAGACAAGTTCTAATAAAGAAAAATATAGACAGCCGAGATATTCGAATTATATGCAATCTATATTGGAATCAAACAGCAAATGTCAAAGTTGAGGCAGACTAACAGAAGAAATTCAAATCCGTCTAGGAGTCCAGCAGGGATGTATCTTATCGCCACTTTTATTTAATCTGTATAGTGAAGCTATCTGTGAACAAGCACTCGAGGAAGAAGATCTTGGTCTGATAATAAATGGTGAGACGATCAACAATATAAGGTATGCTGACGATACAGTTCTCCTAACGGGAACGCTAGTAGAACTACAACATCTCGTTTAAAGTCTCAATATATACTGTAACAGTTATGGCTTGAAATTTAATTTGAAAAAAACTAAATTTATGGTAATCACGAAATCAAAGAACATCAGAGCTAATCTTGTAATAGACAATACAACGATTGAGCGTGTGCCCTGTTATAGATATCTAGGTACTTGGATCACAGACGATACTTATCAAACAAAAGAGATTAGATGTAGAATAGAAATCGCTAGATCAGTCTTTAATAGAATGCGCAAACTCTTTTGCAATCGTGATATCAATATAAAGTTACGAATATGAATGCTGCGGTGTTATGTCTTTTCTACCCTGTTATATGGAGTTGAGGCTTGGACACTAAAAAAGTTGACCATAAAAAACATCGAAGCTTTCGAGATGTGGTGCTATAGGCGCATTCTCAGAATATCATGGATGGACCGCGTCACTAACACGCAAGTTCTCCAAACTTTAGACAAAAGATACGAAATTCTAAATGAGATAAAAACTAGAAAGATGGAATACTTAAGGCACATTGTGAGAGGTGAAAAGTACGAACTTTTAAGAAACATCATGCAGGGCAAAATTAAGGGCAAAAGAATGTGGGAAGAAGAAAAATATCGTGGCTTCGTAATCTACGTGAATGGTTCGGGTGTAGTTCGATTGAATTTTTCAGGCGCGCTGCTAACAAAGTCGCAGTGGCCATGATGATTTCCAATCTCCGCTAGGAGTGGCACGAGAAGAAGAAGACAATTTTAGTATTTGGTTCTCGGTAATATATTTACGAAAAGGGATTCTGTAATTAGTGAACCAGCCAGTGACAAAATGTATTATCTGTAATTCTGTTTATGCCAAGGTAGTTAAAGAGATATTACAAACAATGCTTTTTGAAGAAGCAATTAATATTAATATATAAATATGTACGAATCTTCGAGTTTATTCGAGCGCCACGAAAAAAGGTGCTCCTCTTATATTCGTGAATAACTATAAATTCAATTTTGACGAAAATTTAAAAAGTGGAGAATCACGCTGGAGATGTCATACCAAAGGTTGAAACGTCTACACAATTGAAGGATGATGTAGTAATTCCTAGACAAAACTTAAATCATTCTCATGAAAATCTGGAGGCTAACTGCATTCAACAACAGTTTGTAAGAGTAGCAGCTAAGGGTAAAGCTGCAGAAGATATAAGTACTAAACCCAGGAAAATTTTACATCGAGTTTTAGGTGAAGAAGAACATATCAATTTAACTATTATGAATTTGAAATCAGTGAAACGAAGTATTTATAATGTAAGAAGAAAATTACTCCCAGTTTTATCAGAAACGTTAGAAGTACTGGAATCATTGGAAAAATTAGAGGACCCTATTATCACACTTGCCCATTTAATCTGGTAAATGATAAGAGTGCAAAATTGACTATTATATCTTTTGAGACAAATCTCAGACATTTATGTAAGTGTTCTAGAATATATGGATGGTACATTTAAATATTGCCCAAAATTCTATTATCAAATGTTTACAATTCATGGATACTACAATGGCCACTACATTCGACTAGTATTTTGTATATTGCCAGATAAATTATCATCTACATATGAAACATGTTCCAATTTGATAAGGACCAAATGTTCAAAGCCAACTTCAATTTTCTTCCAAAAGATATTGTCATTGATTTTGAAAAATTAATTCATAAGGCTGTTAAATCATTTTGGGGTCAATCTAAAATAATCGGATGTAGATTCCTCTTTCGCAGGCTTGGTGGTGTAAAATTCAAGAACTTGGCTTAACAAATGATTACAAAAACAGAACTGAAGTGGGAAAATGGACTGGTCATTGCTTTGGTCTTCTTTTTCTAGATCCCCAGAAGTCGGTGATTGTTTAGTTTTTGATCTGATCGAATTTATGCCTGAGAGTGTCGAATTAAATGCTTTTGTTGATTATTTAGTTGAGACATATGTTGATGAAAACTCAACATTTCCACCGATACTCTGGGCTGCAAATCATTCTTCTTCTTACAAGAACAGCCAATGCATGTGAATCTTTCCATTCACATTTACAATAATCCTTTAATACATACCATCCGAATATATTCGTGTTTTTAGAGGCTATCAAGGCTAAATACCTTAGGCTTCGCAACAATCTGAATAAAAAATTAAACATTTTACCCTTTCAAAGTCTAATAAATAAATAACCAGCATTTGTTGTTGCACGGGACTGGGAATTGTTTTTGACATGGCCCATATAAAATCACAGAGTGCGATTTACAAATTCACTAATTGATGCCTATTTTTTCTCCCACAGCCTGGGCTATAATGGAATAAATAAATTTGTGCGAATAAATAATATATAAAACTGTCACTAAAACTAAAACAAGAAAGACAATATAACAATTATTTCTACATAATCATCAACTTTTATATATTTAATATAAAGATAAAAATATTATACCTGACTCCAGATATATATCGCCTGATAAAGGTCAATATGGATTTCAAAAATAATTTATAATTCGCTTCCGCTAATAAACTTTTGTATTTTTCTCCTTTTAACATATAGAAATAAATAAAAAGTCCATTCCTTTCCTGAAATATTTTACACTGTACTGGTATGACACGTCCACCAGTCTATTTGAAAATTTCCTTTGACTAACAAAATTACTAATTGGCAATTATTACATTAAGAGACCAATTGAAAGAAACAAGCTGTCCTGGATGAGAAGCGATGTAGGTGGTTTTCGAAAAATCAAGAAAAAGAAATAGCCGTAGTAAAAAACAGGGAAAGTTAATACAAACAGCAACCAAAGAATAATGAGTAATGCGTACTAGCCACTTATCTTAGAAACGACGAACTACAGATTCAATCTGCGATATATCTTTGGAGAAAACTACAAAAATAATTCCAGATTCCATTGATCATTACTGCAACAATTTGGAAGGTTTGGAGCTGTATTCTACTTTAGCATATCCAGAATCCTCTTATCTATACTTGAACATAGCGGGATACGCCTTTGTCGTATAGCTTTGTTGATAGCGCTCGCGCATGCGCGGCGTGTTTTTGTAATCTAAGAGTGTTTCAATAGCATATTTTACACAGTATATACATCGTTGATTTATAAAAACTCTTAATGAAAATCTACGTAAATGCCCAAGAACTGAACAAAAGAAGCTGAACTGAATAAAAGAAGCTATAATATTGATCAAAAATGGGAAAATATAAAAGTAGCAATAATTAAAACAGCAAATGAAAACTTAAAACCAAAGAAAAGAAAATATAAGACTGGATGACTGAAGAAATACTACTATTAATGAATGAAAGAAAATCATTCAAAACAAAAAATCCAATTAAATATAATGAAACTGATCAACTAATTAAAAAGAGAATAAAGGAAGCTCAGGAGAGAATGTTACATGAACAGTGCCAAGAACTAGAAGAAATTGTGAAAAAATATGACTTTTTATACACTGTTTGCAGTAAGTGTTCTTTCGCAGAGATGCTTAGATATTAACCAGGAAGTATATGCCTGTTTAATTAATTTTGAGAAGGCATTTGACAGAGTACAGCATAATCGGCTTAAAGAAATTTTTATTAAATAAAAACATAGACAGTAGAGACATTAGAATCATATGTAACCTCTATTGCAACCAAACAGCAAAAGTGAAAATTGAAAATGAACTGACCGAGGATATCCAGATCCGCCGTGGGATTCGCCAAGGATGTATTTTATCAGCCTTGTTATTCAATTTATACAGTGAAGCCATCTCAGAATTAGAGCTTGCCGAGTTCAGTAAGGGCCTTATAATAAACGGTGAGCCACTTAATAACATAAGATATGCTGACGACACCGTCCTTCTGGCAGGAACACTAGAAGAACTGCAACACCTTGCTGAACGACTAAATATATATTACAACGATTATGGACTAAAATAAATTTGAAGAAACCGAATTCATGATATTTACAAAAGCACAAAACATCAAAGTTAAGCTAGTATTAGATAATACAGAAATTGAACAAATATCTTCGTACAAATACTTTGGAGCATGGATCACAGAAGATACTGATCAGACAAAAGATAAGATGCCGCATTGAAATTGCACGGTCAACTTTTAATAGAATGAGAAAACGTTTTGTAATCGCGATATCAATATATCGCTCCGGATAAGAATGCTTCGATGTTATATTTTCTCTACTCTTTTGTATGGGGTTGAAGCTTGGACGCTTAAAAAATCCAATATTAAAAACCTAGCAGCATTCGAAAAGTGGTGTTCCGACATTATTTTGAAAATATCATGGATGGATCGCAAAACAAACGAACAAGTTCTCGAACAACTAGGAAAACAATGCGAAGTTTTAAATTCCATAAAAATCAGGAAATTTCAATACTCGGGGCACATCACGAGAGTTGAAAAATATAAAAAGACGTAAAATGTCGTGGCTACGCAATCTCCGTGAATGGTTTGGATGCATTTCAATTAAAACTATTCAGGCGCGTAACCAACAAAATTATAATTACCAGAATGATTGCCAATCTCCGATAGGACCGGAACTTTAAGAAGAAGAAGATCGTCGATTCCTATATATGTATGATATTGAATATATTTTTTGTTCTTGGAACTATTCTACTTGAACAAGTAATACCACATACTCTTACTGTGGATGAGAAATTTTTATTCATGCAAGAATATCTGCATTATTCTTGTCTGCGTTAGTATTGACAGGCTGGTTACTTGCACGCTGTTAATATTACTCAGACGCTATTACGCTGTCAAGTCCAACTCAGACATGGCTGGCGCCAATGTTGTTAGGTATGGGATCTGAATTACTGTTTTTATCAGATGAGAAGAGGTATTTATATTTTCCCATTCTTTATTATTAATATTGCTAGTTGTTAAAACTCTTACAATACATATCGCAATACCAGCAGTTATTGGGTTGGTATTGCCAGACAGTCAAAGTCCAACTCAGAAATTGCTGGCGCCAATATCGTTAGGTATGGAATCTATAGGATCGATTAGGTAAAATAGAGGGCCGTAGAGGTGTAGGAATAAAACAAGTTTTTTGGTTAAAAAACATTCGTGAATGGACTCAGATACCAAATGCAGGGCAATTATTCCATATTGCAGAAGATCGCCTTCGCGAGAAGCCTTTCGCAATGGTGATCGCCAACGTTGGATAATTCTGATATGGAACGCGAAGAAGAAGAAGATGGGATCTGCATTACCATGTTGCATTATCTTCAACAATATTCTGAGCACATGAAAAAGACTCAAACATGAAAGGATTTTACTTTATTTTTAGCTCTTAAAATATTTTCTTCACTTCCTGGAAGGTTCTTGATCAAATTGTTAAGGTGATTAATTATTATTAATATAGCTATTAATTAAACAATAAAAAACCGATTAGAAAAACTAGTAATCTTACCTCTATCTTTATTATCACGTTCAATTTGGCCACGATTGTTACTACTACTAGTTGTATAATTCGTTATTGATTGAGTTGTTTTTGTTGAAGGTACTGACGTCGATGAAGCCTCGATTTGTTTATCCTTGACTTGTTGCTCTTTCTGGACGTGAGCATCCTTGTGATGTTGTGCAACTTGAGCATAACTTTTTCGAGGGGGGTTACCTGAATAGTCCTGAAAAATAAAGTTTGAATTTTACATTTGATTTTCCCCTTTATTAAATACGAAATTTGAATTAATATTGTAATTTTGAAGTAATAGGTTGAACTCCTACATATGAACGAATGGTGCTGATATCCTGCTACAGAATTTATTGACGAAGCAATGAAACAATACACCTATCAAATTTTTGCAGTTGGATGGATCTCAATAAATCTTTTTGCTAAATTGATATAAGGTTGAATGCTCGAATAAATGAACTTTGATCAAATAAAAGGCAAATATCGAGCACAGTTTAATTAATTAAATCTTGTCCAAGTACTTTCGCTCCCTAGAGCATCTTAAGGGGCACAATTGACGAAATACCCTGAAGATGCTCTAGGGAGCGAAATTTCCACCAAACTGTAGGAGACCAGGCCCGTCCTTGGCACCAGGTGCATTGCACACCATCGCACATACGTCGCGTCGATTTAATAGATTTACGTGGACAAAATTATTTTACATGCATAGTTCTACTCAAATTGTAAAAGCATTTGAAATTGGCTTTTGGCATGTCGATTAACAATCTAGTTTCTTTTCTAAATCTTTGCTGAATATATTTTGTGAGCACTTCTATCCTCTTTTTCGTCAGTTCTATTTTCTCCATATTTTTTTTATTGGTAATACCGAGAGACCAAATTCAATAGCCGTAAAACTTGTACTTAATTTTTTATTCAGATTGTTAGTCTTTATTTGTTGCTCCGCATATATCACCGACTAGATTTTGTATTAGTTGCAGCATTACAAACATAGCCATGCAATCATGGTCATCTTAAAAACATGATTAAACATGAATGTGTTACCGTTCAAAACAACTTCAGTAGGTGTTAAGTTCTTGGCAGATTCTTCAACGTAACTCATCTCCCCGTTCGTTACATCAACTGTTTCTTTCAAGTGGAACATAAGAAGTTAGGAATAGAGGCGCATCCGAAGCAGCGTCATCGGCAAATTCTGTTTGTATCTGGCTTGTTGAGATCCGTCACAACCCCATTTACAAATAATTTTTAAAGACTTTCTTTATTGTCATTTAGAGAACAAAGGATTTCTTCAACCCAACTGATAAGCGGTAAACGGTGTTATCTATTAAACTCTGTAAACTGCTTTCTGCGCAAGTACTTGAAACCTTTATGCAATCCGTTGGCGGGTTGCATAAAGTTCGCCAAATATAGTTGAAAGTGTGAAAACGCGTGACGATCATGATGCGCATTCGTCAAACGACGGACCTCGCACTCGAACTGACGGTCCAGACCGTTTGTATGTGCGTTCTCACTTCATTGTTAGTGCAGGCAATGGGAATTTCACACTTTCAGCTATATTTGGTGAACTTTAGCATTGTTTTTTTTTCTTTAACAATAAGTCATAAGATGGATAAAAAGATTTATTGGTATTTCAAATGATTTCATACTGTCGCTTGGTTAAATCAGCTTTAACAAACAGTGATGCGGCTTGCAACGGTGTAAGAGCAGTAATATCTTCTTTATCTAATTTCCTGAACGCATCTCTATATTTATCTGTACGAGTTGGAGAGTTTGTAATTTCTTTTAATATTTTTGAAGCATTTCTTTTTCCTCGAGCCTGTAATGTTGATTTTGCTGCATGAACATGCAGCAAAATCAACAGATAACACAGAGTGGAGATTATACAACGAAAAAGCGGAAATTACTTTGTATAGAGAAAATCTAAATACTACAAAATAAAATCAAACAATTAAGTAGTGAACTGGAGGGTAGATCTATGATAACACTGATAGGAATTTGAAGTGAAACACTGACACCTGGAAATAAAAATTAAAAATATATCTAATCTACATTATTTTTACTTACGATCATAGGAGGAGGAGAAATAGAAACATGTCTCGAAGTTTCTGATTTGGAATCCTGCCTATGTACCGGTATATGATTCTTAGTACTATTAGTAGTAGTTACAGCCACCCCTGACCGCGACGGGGCTTCTGTTGGCACAACTGTGGTCATGGTGGCAGCGTTTGTGGTAGTGGGACATGGCACATCCAAATCACCATTAAGAAGAACATCGTCAGTTTTTGTTGATTTGTCAGCCATGGTACATTTGATTGGTAGAGCAGGAACTAATCTGAAAAATTACGTAAATATTGAAAATTGTGTAATAAAATCTGTAAAATCTGCGAGAATGTATAACAACTTAACAATCTAATCTTTAGTGTTAGTGAAAAGTCCTTAACTTTTAAATTCTAAATTTGTTGCAGAAATACAAATATAAATACAAATCCATTTCTCTGGTTACAATTATCACGCCTGTTTTGAACAACTAAACGTCCAGCTTTCAACTTTGGCACATTCAGATATTGTTTACTCATAGAACGACAGTTCTTTATTCGAATACTCCCATGACTCGATTAGTTAGGGCTGCTATGTATGCTTAAATGCCAACCAATAAAATATATGACCAAAACCATATAAATATGTCTCCTGAAAATATGAACATTTTGGATGATACAATATGCTGGTTTTCTTTGAGAAATAACCACAGGCATACAATTTTTTGGAAGCATAACTTTCTTTTCGCTTGCTACAGACGGAGCGGTGGATCGCTTTATCGAAGCTAATGCGTGTTATGATTTGTACAGATTATGTTAAAAAACTTCGAAATCTTGTAAAAATAAGAACAAAGGTTAAAAAATTTATCACGTTAGGGAGTTGAGAGAAAATGAACAGGAATGAATAATTATTTTGGAGACTTTCAACATTTTCAAATTACATCTGCCGACTTTCACTTGTTGACAAATGTAGACAAGTTTATACTTTCACTCAGGATCACAAGTACCTCCTTATTGAAATCATGTACTATTTGTCTGTCTTAGAACTTGGTACATAGAAGAATTTTGGTCCAGAAAAAAACCTATTGAATTTCTTAAACAGATTGTTCTTAAACAGTTGAAAATTATCAGTTACTTGGTATAGAGTTCCTATAGGACATAAATATAACCTCTCAATGATGTTCAAAAGAAATAGATACAGATATAACAAAAAAAGAAATATTACAGGCATTAAAAACAATGAAATATTAAAATTATAGGGCAGCACATTGGTGTTTTAGTTTGAACCAAATTTATAGCTCAGGCTGCTCAGCCAAAGACTGGTTAACGTCTCTGCGGCAACTGCCGCACCATTAGCTTAATTTACCAGGTTCTGAAGTTACCACTAAAAGTCATCCATAACCGAATATATCATAAACTAGACATGGACATTAATGACATACAAGTTGGGTTTCGCAAAGGCCTGAAGCTCTTTTACATGTTAACGAGTCGCTGTCAGAGGAAGTTGAAATTAGACGTGGAATGAGACAAGGATAGAAAAAGCTCTTGAGGGTGAAAAAAAATTGTGCGACCACATACTATTCCTGAATCAGCTAATCAATCTAATATCATTCTAGAAGTGCCCTCACGGCTGGCACTATTAGTGCAATATTTTTTGGAGAATAACATGGTTCCAAGGTAGTCATTATCAGACTACAAGTATTGATTAAAAAAAACGTGTGTCTCCTGAAGTGTTTCAGTTGCCACATCCACACTGCTTTTTTCAAAAATATATTCCACACTTTGGCACAAATGGCAGAGAAAATAAATCTTTGTGTTCAACAGGGTTATTGTAGGAATACTCCAACTAATATTGAGAAAATCAAAAAACCAAATCATTGGAATTCATATTATAACGAGAAATGTAAACTTTTCATAAACTGTGATATAATATAGATAATTCAACATCGCTTAGCCTGGTGAAAACACGTCAAATAGATTTTTCAAATTGCGCCAGACTTTAAACTTGATAGGTAATACTGTCAGTTCTGCGAATAACACTGACCGACTGCGGAAAGAGATATTTTGACATCTACATATTTGAAAGTGCGGTACTCAACTACCTCTAGAAAAAATTTATGTGTGGACAAGCAAATGTTCCCGTTCAAGGAAGAGTCTTCTCCGATACATGAAAGATGTGTAAAATTGTTGTGGTAGAAAAATGGGATAGTTTTATAAAAATATTTGTTCTTGCTGGTTTAGTGAATGACTTTATAATTTACCAAGAAGCAACTACCGAGGTAAATGGGGAATATAGTAAGTTTGGTACAGGAGCTACAACAGTAATGCAACAGCATAAGACTATTCAGGCTGCTAACTGTTAGCGTCCAAACTTGAACTACATACAAAAGTGTGGATGTAGCACTTAAAAAAATAATTGATTTCTATATCAAGTGATCTGTCGCTTAGGTTAGGCATGTTTAAAAAGTTTGATATGGCTATTTCAATTAATTTCTACATTGGGATAAGATTCTCATTGATGCAGCTACGCAGGTTCTTAAACTTTAGTTATTCCTATATCTTTGTTTTTTTCAATGTTAATTTAAGTCCGATATATCTCCTTCAGCTGATATTTCGTTAAGTAAATGTTGCAAGCACTCCAAACTGTCTGCAAATAAAACTATGTCGTCGGCATATCTTAAATATAATATACGAACGTCATTGACCCCATATGTTTGAAATATAATTTAAGTATTGACAATTTTGCATAAAAATATTTTAATCTAATGGAATGAAACAATAAAACCTGAAAGTAAATACGAAATAAATTTAAAGACTTACTTTTCGGGCGAACTTGGAGGTGTAAGCGTAACTGTACTAAGCTGAATGTCCCCACTTTCGGATGAGACATCTTTACAGTCAAGTGGACCCGTAGAAGTCGATACTGAATTTTGTCTAGTAGTTTGATTGCACAAAGGAAAATGTTGCGGAGACACAGCTCTAGGGGAATCGTCGCCACCACCACTGCTCGATTCCTTACTGCTTCCTCCAACACTGCTGCCTTTAAATTTTGCTGTACCTAAAAATATCAATGTATCATTAAAGAAAAATCTTAATAAGGGGCGACAATAACAATTTACAAAAATTTATGAATCGAAATAAGTAGCTCGTCAGATACAGATAAAGATAGAAAAAAAGTAGACAAATAATCTGTTATCAAAATTGCTCTATCAAACTTTATAAGTAAATGTATTTTTTCTAATGTTTTCTGAAGTAAACAACAACAAAAATGTATGTAAATTATATATTTTTTCTCTACTATTATGTATATATTCTAAATTACACAATCTTTTACCTTTCACAACATCAGCAAGTCTGTTCTCTCCCCAATGTCCTTGTTGTGGTACTGGCTGAGTCTCTATCAACGACTGGGATGAAAGAGTTACTTCTAGGATGGAATTTGTTACTTGATGTTTGTAATTTGGCTGGGAACCCATATCTAAACCTAAGTACAAGACTAGAAATTAGTACTTCTCTGGACTGTATCATAGAAAAAGGTGAATACGTAAATCTTAAAAGAGACAACGCATGGCAAACAAGGTTTAACCAAAGAATATAGACGCATACAGAAGAACAGTTCAAACGGCAATTTGGTTACGGTTATTATACTTCAAAACAATCTTGAGAGGGCGACTGCATAAATATATATATATATATATATATATATATACTATATATATATATACATATATATATATATATTATATATTATATATATATATATATATATAATAACCACTTAATTAAAAAGGTTATATACTTTTTAGGACCCTGATGATGGAACATGGATTCTGAAAACGTTTTGTGATATAGCCTGATTGGGTTTTTAAATTATATACCTTTAATAAAGGATTTTTCATAATTTTTTTGTGATACATTGTATACAGCCAACTACAAGAACTTAGATTCCTTGTGGATAAACGTAAAACTTACACAAACATTTTAAGTCATAAAAATTTTAGTATTACATTCTACTGACCTGGCAGAGGAGGAAATGCTTCTTCGATCAAATCAAATTCAGTTCCTCTGGAATTGACTGGTTCCCTAGTTTGTGTCTGAACTGACTGCCCATTCAAAGCTCCATCCTCGTCACGCTTTTTCCTACGATGCCTAGGTGGAATTACTTCTTTTGCTACTTTATACATGTCCACTGGGTCTGCGTGCATTACCGGTAGGCCTACAAAAAAATTCTCTATTTGTTAAATTATAATAAAATTATGAGATATTTTTGTAGCTATCAAAAGTCATAATTCCGTCTTGCAAATGCGGAATATCTTGTTGACATACTTATAAAATAAACGATAAAAATACGGATGCCCAGTGATATATTTGCTGTCATATTGAAAGAGGAGGACTCCAATTGATATTGGAGTATACAATTTTCTCACTTTTTCAGTATTTAATATGTACTTTATTTGAAATGAGTTCTAATACTAAGGAATTCTTTCCTTTCCTTCCTTTGTTTCTTTTGCTTCCTTTGTCTAGCAATTTGATGTTTATCTGCATATCACTTAGTATTATTCATTATCCTGTGCTACATTCTCAGAGCTTTAAATTTTCATTTTCTTATTCTCACTTGGTAAACTCTGGGGTAGCTGAAAGAGAACCAACGACAAGGAAGCAAAGGATTGGGGCGACCTGAGAAACCTGAATGGGAATAGTAACAGATGGTGGAGTTTCCTGGATGTACCTCAGGGACTTAAGGAAAATAAGTTAATTATTTTTAACGTAACCGCCTCTTATGATCCTTCGTACCTCAAATTATTGATACACCAGTATTTGTATTATCATTTACTGTGTTTCTTTCAAATAATGCACAGATTATCTATTTAACGCCCACAAGGCACTTACCCCATTTTAATTTCAAACCATTAATTTTCATCAAATGTTTCCATAAATTTTCGGTAAAACAAACTTAATAAATGTTTTTTAAGCAATTTCAGTTAATAGTGGCCACTCCTAGTATTCAATTTGCCTTAATACTAATTAAATTTAATTAAGATTGATGGTACTAACTATGGATTACATACATACATTCATAAATTACGACTATGCAATAATATAATTTCATGTTCTGATACTTTTACTTACCAATAGGAGTGGTATGATTAGCTATGTGAGCCTCATTATTATCATTAGCTACATTGTGAATATGGCTATTTTTTGGAATTGCACCTTCCGAAGTTGATCCTTTGGAAGGGTTTCCTTTACTACTGCTATTTAAAGGTGAGTGAGAACGCGCTTGGTAAGAAATGGCTTGCCTAGAGCTGCCTTGTCCATTACTACCACCACCTAAAACAAATGCATAATTTTCAAAACATGTTACCAATCATACAACACAAACAGAAGGAAATGTAAAAGCTTTTATCAATGCTACGGCAAAACTCACTACACTCTTAAAATCAAGGATTGAAATTAATAAAATTCATTTAGACAGCACCGTCAATATCAACGGGAGTTATGAACAAGCAATTTGACAATGTATAAAGACGGGTAGAATTGGTGCGTCCCACTTCTGGAGCTATTTTATGACATATCTGTAATACGTGTTGTTACCAAGTAAGTCGTTTATCTATATACAATCCAAGATACTTGATCATCTCATTTGTATTAAATCTGAATTTTCCAATGTTCAATTGCATCTCCCTATCTGAATCTACATTTGAAATGATCGTATAACTGCACTTATCCATATTACGTAAGAGCTTGTGATACTTAGCCACTCATCTATTTCTATTAAGTCGTTTTCTATGCCAGTTTCTAATATTCTGGGATCTTTATTGGCATACAAAAGACCAGTGTCATCGGCATGCAGATACAACCAGGACTGCAGCAGTAAATTTAATAATGAAATCATATAAATACCAGCAACTTAAAAAATGCATTCATGAGCTGCAAGTGAAGAATGGTAGTCGGATAATATGCAAACGTTAGTAAACAATAAGAAAACTGCTTATCAGAAGTGGATGTCAACGAGAAAGGAGGAAGATTACAAGATATATAAAAAATTAAATCGAGATGTAAAAAGAGAAGTAGTGAAAAGTAAAAATTGAGATGTGGGATAGAAGATGTGCAGAGGTGGATAGTTATATGGGTGGAACAAGAGTTGGGCAAGTGTGGAAGGTGATAGTCTCTCCGGAGGGAAGAAAAGGAAAAAATTTAACTTACAGTTAATAGATCTATAGAATAGTAATAGAACAGTGGAAACACCATTATGAGGTCTTACTGACAGATGATAGATGTAAATTCCAAGAGATCGAAATGGAAGAAATACCCAAACATACACAAATAATTGAGATAACAACCGGATAGTTAAGCGATGCCTTCAAAAGATCGAAAAACGGAAAAGCAGCAGGACCTGGAGACATCCCAATTGAGTTGGTAAAGTATGGACCAAAAATATTACATCAGATGTTGGTTCAACTATTTAACAAATGCTTGAAAGGACAAAATATCCCTGATGATTGGAATCTTGGATACATCAGCTCAATATTCAACAAGGGGATAAACGCAAATGCTCTAATTATAGGAGAATAACTGTTATCCGCTAAGTGGGGAGGTTGTATGGTCGAATAATAAAAGAAAGAATAGCATCAGAATACGAAGACATAGAAGAACAAAATGGATTTGGTGCAGGAAGATCGTGCACTGATGGATATCTCTGCAGCACGTAATCGAAAAACGGAAGGCAAGGAATCTATCTACCCACCTATTGTTTGTAGATTTAGAAAAGGCATACTGGTACCTTTGAAAACACTGTTTCAAACATTGACGAAAGTAGGTCTCAATAGAGAGTATGTGGATACTATCGCAAATTTATACAAAAATGCAAGAAGTGTCGTTAAAGAAGGAAACTTTATATCTGAATCATTTCCAATAACAAAGGGGATTAAACAAGGATGTTGTCTACCTCCGACCTTATTTAAAATATATATTCAATCATCTCTAAAGCAGTGGAGGAAACAAGTATCCGGAATGGCAATAGACATAGGCAGTGGTAAATGTCTAATAACTTTATTTTTCTACATATGCAGCTCTATTGAATGTAGAATTATGATGTTGTAACTCATGAACTATTACTGTCTTTTTTGCATGTTTTGAGTTGTTGATACTATGATTTAATGTTAACCATATTTTTTTAGCTTTTATTTTGTGCCTCTGATAATTTATTTGAGAAATATTCTTGTTTTGCTTTAGCCACTGCATCAATTATCTCATTTTGGGCAGATTTATAGGTATCCTGCAGGAACTTACTATTTGGAAACTGTTTATGCCTTCTATAGTGTAAATCTCGTTTTGTCACAGGTGGCTGTGTTATTTAAGTAAATTATATTATTATTTCGTCATATATTATGATCAATAATATATTATGATTTCGTCACACAAGGAATTGGGTTCACCCCAGATTTGATTCTACACAGTGTTTATTTAACTAAACTGCTCTCAGTTTATATTTGTTATGTAGGTATATTATTTCTAGGTAGACTTAGACTTAGGTGATAACTTACCAATTTTAATAACTGGATTTGGGGATCACCTAAACCCTCATCCACTATATAAAGTTTAGCATCATAATTTAAGGTGTTGGTCACTAAATAATCAATACAAGTAGTTGAGTGGCACGTAGTTCTCGTAGGAACAGTTTTATTCAATATTGTAAAACCTGCTGTAGAACATATATAATTACAATGTTTACTTTAACTTAACCTCAATTATCAACCTCAATATTATTTATTCTTGAACAAAATTCACATTTTTTGGCAAATCCGGTATACAACTAAAAGAATTTGGTAAGCTATAATTGCATTTTGGGTTTCAGTTCTTACACAACTTCTTATGAATGTTTTCCTAAAATTACTAGGACATATTCTATATCCTCCTATCGCCTACATAGCTTCTTAGTTCTTATTAGCGGTACCAAGTAGACAACTACCTAAAACAACTTCTAGCAAGCTCCTGGATAATTCCACTCCAATTTCTTCGAAACAATTGTCTAAGTAAGTCAGCATAATCTAACATTCGTGATGCATATATCCAACATTTAGACTAAGAAGCATACTGCACTTTTATTTCAAGGTAGAAATGAGTAAGTTTCGTTACCTAACAAGAGTTACTGTTTCTAAAATGTGGCTTATGTTCATATGTCTTAATCTTAATAAATCACTAATGTGTGACTTCATCAATGTACAATATTCTTTTCGAATTTAATTTGATACAGATATTCAAAGTGATTTTAACTTACCCTGAGAACCCTGTGAAGATTGGTCACTTTGACCAGCACTCCTCGATTGCTTACGAGGTCTGTTTTGATTCGTACGATAAGTCGTTGGATGTTTAAAGTTCTGCGGAGCCAGCCCGTTCACAGAGAACACAGAGCTAATGTCGTACAAACCCGGACCGGACGGAGGCCAGGCGACCGAAGCGTAAAATTGTTGCGGTTGGTAAGGAGGCTGAAACAGAAAATATCTATTAGGTTTTATAATACTTACAGATATGCCTATTTTCAAAAAAAGGTTTGTGTGTCAGGAAAAGATTAGATATATGTGTGTAATATTCAGTTAAACACACGCCTCTAAGTTATCTATCAAATGCATAAGAGATAAACTACATACAGTGAAAAATATAGATCTAATATGAGAAAACAAATACCAAAAAGCACAAAACAAAAAGGGTCATAAATCGTAACACAATTGCAAAAATTTTTAACATTCTGAACTGAAGTCTCCATTTAATTAAATAAAATGGTATATAGATAGATAAAAGGTTTATAGCAAGACAAAATTATCAATTAAAAATATAAAATATTACACAAAAATGGAACAACACATTAAAAAATATTTCAATCATTAAAATAAATATAAAGCATACAATATAGACAACTTAAAACAATTAAAATATTATCAAATTTGGTTGTGTAACAGCTTGGGCATTAACAGATACACTCTCGTAATATTCACCATGCTAAGGATACATGGTCACTAGGCCACTAGGTACTCTTTAACTTGGTTTTTAAAAGCTGTAGTTGAATAATTAATATTTTTAAATTTTTGAGGAAGTTTATTAAACAGTAGTAAACCACAAAATCGATTTGGGATTTGGTTAGAAACGTTCCCATCTAACGGAGCACATTATAAATTCTGGATCTTTTGATCTAAACTTGTGGCATTTTAAATCACCTTGTATGTATTGAAATCACCCGGTATGTGTCAAAACACCGACAAAGTGTTTTCAATCCTTTTTCGTCGTTGGAGTTGGAACCGCTGTCAGAGGCATTTGGTTTCAGTGTTGGTCCGAATTTTCATCTAATTCGAAATGGTTTTTCCTTATTCCTATTTTTTTTGTTATCGGAAATGAGTGAAGTTTGGCAGTATACAGCAGTTAAATGTGTAGTTACAGTGGAGGTTTGGAAGAATCTTTGAAAAGAAAAAACGCAGGCGAGTGTCGGCGTTAAGAACCGGCAAATTTGTTCCGAAAAAGTGATTAATACTCAATGTAATGTGTCAGTTTTGAAAAAGTAATCACTGTTTTTATGTTTCTAAGTATCTAAGAGATTTGTGACGTTTACAAAAACTTTGAAGGTTAACCACTTGTTGCCGTTGTGTCCAGTTGTATTCCAGTTTTTAAGAAGCTGAGTGTCAAATTTTGCGTCCCAGTGAACAGCTTCCAGCCTCATTTTGTTTGTCCTAAACCGTCTCAGAATATTCCGCAGTTTTGAGGTGCATTTGTGTTTGCAGTGTAAGTCCAGTTCTTTCCCAGAAATTTTAAAGAACTTTTAGGAAAAATAAACATTTTCTAATAATAATTGCTTTCATAACAGTTTAAGAAATTGTAATAATTAAAATTGTAGATGTTAGGATGTGTCCTAGCTGTCATATTAATGGTTCTCAGTTTTAAAATTTAATATTGACATCTGACATCTAGCTTTATTTCTTTGACATTTGGTAAATAACAGATCTTGTTTTGCCTGGTTTTCTTTAGAAAAATTTTAACCTCTATGCATAGTTTCACTTAAAAAGATATTTTTTCATTTCTAATAATTTATTTTTGCTACAAATTATCGCCCAATAACAATTGTAAGTTCTTATAGTATCTCCAACTTCTAGAGTTTGTAAACGGATAAAACATAGTAAGTGTCTTGATCTGTTAGTTTGTATTTATTTGTGTAACTATTTATATAGCATTTTTTGTACTATTTTTAATTGTAACTGTTTGTAGTGAGACAGCAATAAATATTTAATTTTTCCCTAAACCAATTTCTTTAGTTCTTTTAAAAAAGTTACTAACCCCTTTTTATATTTTTTAAAAAGGAAGAGGCTTTTCTTTAACCTAGCAGGAAGATTCTTCAAAGCGGCGTCCTTATTTTAAATAGCTTGTGAACCTTCTTGTGTTTCGTTTGTCCAGGAGAGTCATTTAAGTACCCCTTTGTTTAATTTTCTTATTTGCCCCAATCCAATCTCATCTTGTTATTCACTTATCCATTCACTTATCTCGAATAAACCATGAGTAGCCGTTCGCAAAGTTTCGGTTTGTTTTAGTTGTCCTATCTCTATCCCCGTAATTTCTGTCCCCATTTTTCAACCCCTTAAGGTAATACCCTATGTGGTAGACAAGATAATCGTTATAAACTTGAAACACCGTGTATTCATGTCCTCATTATAATATTTACTAAATACCTACTAAATTCTCTACCTGGAATTATCTAAGAATCTTCCTTTAAAATATATCACGTAAACAGAGTCGCAGCCGAATGGACAACGGTACAACTTAAAGAAGGAACCTAAGAAAGAATATACAGTCAAGAAAAAAAGAGAGCAAGCCTCCACCCCACAAAAATTAAAGAACGAAATTGAACAGACACCATTTTTAAGTCATATTATTTATTAAAGTCGCAGTCCAATAAAAATAACAGGAACTGATGAGTTACAAACATAACTAACATTGCAGAACGTTAGTTGAGTAATTACAACTATGTGCAAGGCTAACCTAACCAAAGATGGGTTTTAATTGGACAAAACTGTATCTTGAAAAGCAGTAAAGCTATGTTTATAAAAAAATGTGTATTTTTTTATTCAAATATAACAAACAATCCTCGTATGTTACAACGTAAAAATCAATTTTCATTATTAAAAAACTTAAAATTTAACTTAATTTTTGGTAATATATCAGATTCTATTAAAATTTAATCCAATGTTCTATCCTACTGTTCATTACCGTGGTAACATTCTCACTCGATAAATTTAGTTTAATTCTCCTAGCAACTATTAAAAATACATATTGTTCATATCTCATGAATTAATTCTTATGCAAATACTAACGAACGGCGCTATCGTTTCTTGTATCTAACCAATAAAACCAATTCCTTACAAAACTGGGTTTTCCTATTATTTATTTAACATTTACTTATAAAGCGTTGTCGAGGATTAAATCATACAAAATGAGCTGTTTTGAATAATTTCCTATTGTTTTTACTTACGAGGATTTTCCGTTAACTATGTGTCAGTACAAAGAAAACGCAAGTTTTTTTACAAAATCTTTTCATGGAAGAATCCAAGTTGTACAGCTGCGGTCATTGAATAGTTTACACCCTTACGTATCTAGTGGGTAAAAAACAAAATTCCGACACTAAAAATGTTTGATTTTGAAAATTTATAACTTTTTTATTTGTATTCCTATTTTTAAGATTCTTGCACAGTTTGTAGGTACAAATATTGGCATCGTTTGATTTTCTCCTAACTTTAAAAAAACTCTAAGATTTTGTTTGATTTAACTTCTAAAAACTCATCCCTAAGTGAGAGCGCCCACCAAAGTGTCGTGGCACGTGGCAAGTAGCACGCGTCTAGCATGTTTCTTAAAATGTAACCAATGAAAACGAATGATTCAGCGTACACCAAAATGGCAGTGACGTCATTCATTCTAAGCATTCGTTTTCATTGGTTACATTTTAAGAAACATGCTAGCTAGACGCGTGCTACTTGCCACGCCACTTTGGTGGGCGCTCGCCCTTAGATTTTGTTTTTTGAATTATCCGAATATCTCTTTATTTTTATTACCTGTTAGTGATACTGAAATCAAGAATGTTTTGCTTAGATTAAAAAACTCACACTGCATGGATTTTTATTTCTTAAACAAAAAAATAATTGTGGAAACAATCGATATATAATTATCCTGCGTGGCCTGCGTGTTTCTTCAAGTCATCTGACCATCTCATTTGTGACCTTCCTCTTTTTTATTTGTAACTATATTATGGTCTCCAGTATATAATCATCTTATTCCATCTGTCGTCTTTCTGTCTTATGGTATGTCCAGCGAACTTCCATTTAAATTTTGCTATCTGCGTTGATACATCGGTCACTTTTGTTTTGTTGCGGATCCAATTATTTCTTTTCTTGTCTGATAGCCAGGTTTGAGAACCGTAGGTGAGAACAGGAAGTATACATTGGTTGAAGACTCTTGTTTTTAAATATTGAGGGTATTTTCTCCGAAGGATACCAAAGCAAACGTATCCTTCTCTTTATTTTTCCGGTCTGATTTTGTTTATTTAATTTAACTAGTTGTCCCAAATATACATATTCTTTTACTTATTCTATAGTTGTTTGTGAAATTGTAATTATTAATTCTTCTGGTTGATTGGTCATAATTTTAGTTTTATTATAATTCATTTGTAGACCTATTTTTGTTAATTCGCTATTTAATTCATCCATCATATTTTGTAATTCTTCCCTTTTATCTGTTATTAATACAATGTCGTCTGCATATCTCAAGTGATTTAAGTATTGGCCATTAATGTTAATACCCCATTTTTCCCATTGTAATTTCCTCAGTAACGTCTTCCAAAGCTTGATTGAATAGTTTGGGTGATATAGTGTCTAGACTCCTCGCCGTATCTTAATAGGCTCCGTTTGTTCAACTATTTTAATGTATGTTGTTGCTTGATCATATATATTGGAAATAAGTCCGTATATCTATAGTCTATTCTCCCATTTTGTAAAGAGTTCTTTACTGCCCAATGTTCCACCTTATCGAATGCTTTTTCAAAGTCTACAAATGCCATATACATTGCGATTTAATATTCGTTGGCCTTTTCAATTAATATTTTTATCGTAAGCAGATGGTCGCTTGTACTGAATCCTTTCACTTAATAATACTGAATAACTTAGTTGTTAATCTGTTTGTTAGTAGTTTAGTTAACAATTTGTACATTACATTAACTAGCGTTATGGGTCCTATAGTTTTTCAGATCTTTTCTATCACCTTTCTTAAATACGAATAGTGTTATTGCATCGCTCCATGTGGTTTGTATTTGTTTTGTGTTTAATATTTTATTCACTAGTACATAAAGGACTTCCACTGTAGTTTTCCCCAATTCTTTAGCATTTCCACAGCTATTCCATCTCTCTCAGGAGATTTGTTATTCTTCATTTCTTTGAGTGCCTTTTTATTTCATTTTTAC